AGCTACCTTGGCTTGCAGATCACCCGGGACAGAGCACAACGCACCATTACCCTGACTCAGTCACACATGGTGGAGCAGGTCCTTCAGCGCTTCGACTTCACGTAATCCTCGCCTCAGGCCACTCCTCTGTCTACTCGCCACTCGCTCTCAGCTCTGCCTTCGGATGAGTCCGTAGAGCCGAGTGGCCCGTACCCAAAGCTTGTTGGCTGCCTCATGTACCTGATGACCTGCACACGACCTGACCTTGCATACCCTCTTAGCATCTTGGCACGCTATGTTGCTCCTGGGAGACACCGACCAGAGCACATGGCTGCAGCGAAGAGGGTGTTGCGCTACGTGTGCAGTACGTCGGGCATGGGGCTAGTGCTTGGAGGGCGACGTCCAGTGGTCCTCACAGGTCACGCAGACGCTTCTTGGGCTGACGACCAGGCTACGCAGCGGTCGTCACAGGGTTACACCTTCAGCCTTGGCTCCGGCTCTGTTTCGTGGCGGTCTACCCGCTCCTCTTCTGTTCTCGGCTCCAGCTGTGAGGCTGAGATCTACGCAGGGGCCATGGCTGCACAGGAGCTACGCTGGCTCACCTACCTGCTGACTGACCTAGGAGAGCCGCCTCGTTCTCCTCCATTTCTGTACGTAGACAACAAGGCCATGTTGGCCTTGTGTCGGGAGCACAGACTGGAGCACAGAACGAAGCACATTGCTCTTCGCTACTTCCTTGCTCGTGAGCTGCAGCAGCGTGGTCAGCTGCGCCTTGCTTACGTGGCCTCTGAGGCCAACACTGCTGATATCTTTACCAAGGCACTTCCGCCTTGTGATCATCAGCGCTTCTGTACGATGCTAGGTCTTGTGCCTACTTGGCCTCACTTGCTCACTTCTTGACCTTGCTTGTACTGTGATCTTTCTATACCTGCACTTGCCTGTTTACCTTTATATATGATCTTGCATGTGAACTGGCCTTTTGGCCTTGCTCTTGTGCTCGTATTGTGTGGTGACGTTGTGATCCACCCTGAGCTTGCTTTGCTTTGCTTGACTGGTCTTGTGACCTCTTGTTCTCCCCCACTTTGCCTATGGGGGTGTGTCAAACTTATATGCTATAGTCTGTGTAGGCTGTAGTGGGGTAGACTATATGGGGTACAACATTTCTAGGTTTTCCTACTTGTACCCACCTGCTTGCTAGTTCATTCATTCCTCATTCTTCACAGTTACCACTGTGGCCTTCGCTATTTACAATCCTTCGCTCATTGTACTGTTTGCTTCGATAGTGCAATTCTCGCTCGCTCGCTCAATTGCACTCGTAACAGAATGTTCGAATGTTATATATAGATCATAATCCATTACAAGACTATACATAGTGAAAAGAGAATGGATGAGCTAGCCAACCTCCAAGTAAGGAGGTGCGTTGAAGAACGCTAATCCCCTGTCTTGTAGGACAGCCTCTATGTACAGAGGTCCGCTCTGCATAGGGAGAAGGCAGAAAGCACTAAGGTGGACAAAACGTGTCGTTCAAGATCCATGGGCGTGCAAATAAGGATGAATTTCAGGAACACCATCATTAGTGAAGGTGAAAAAGCGAGTAGTCTTGGCGTAGGAGATGGATGCAGCAGTGCGGCGCCGTTTCTTGGAGGACTGCCTCTCATTACGCCATAGGAGAATCTTGAAAGCGATTAGGAGCTGGGCGAGGATGAATTGAAGAATTTCAAACGTGTTGATGTAGGAGGCCCGTGGAGATGGAAAGAGCAGGGTGGCGATGGGCCACTGTGCGTAGCATCGTAGTGACCGAGACCGCAACCCCGCATTCAAAGAAAATATGGGAGATGGTTTCGGGAAAAGACCCTTGCAGCCGTCTACCCCGTACATGAACTGGTAAAACATGGTTAATATGGAACGACATAATGTCAAGTGGTTCCCTGTCAATAAGATTGGAGGGAGACACTCGAAAAATCCGAGCACTTAGGGAGGAAGAGGGGGCTGAAGGAGAGGGCCTCAAACGCTAGGAGCGGACGTTCGGACAAACTATGAGTCAGAATAAACCAGTCACCGAGTGCAATCTCTGGGGGAGGGGGGGAGAGGAGGGCGCGTTTCCACTCGGGCGGTATCGCAAGGAGAATTTTCTCAAGTAAACTGTTGCAAGAAGGATACTCAGAGGGGGGCCATTGCTGGATAAATTCCTCCTCGGAGATGGGACGACAAGTAGGGGGGTTAGAACGGAAGATGTGTCCGACCCGAAGTTGGAGAGTGAGCAAGAAACGCTCATGCTTACGAGTGCCAAAGGGAATTTTGTTAGGTTTAAGGATGAAACGGTTAAACACAAGAGGTTCTACCAGCAGGGAGCGCAGATCAAGGCGAGGGGGAAGCACAGTTGGCTTAAGGGACAGGAAATTTTCCAACTCATCATGAATGCGACGGAGGGTTGAGGGTCGGAGTGCCAACTTGTGCGAGATTGAAGCGTGGGCCAGGAAATGGAAGTGGGATGCATGTGCGGGCTATGGACTCCACAGACAAGGCACCGAACCGACGCAGAGCTCGTTGAATGTAGAGGGCGCGGATTTGCGTGGAGGGGGCGATCGCACCCAAGCCACCATGGCGCAATTTATTATAAAGCAGCCTTTTTGGGATAAGCCGAACACTGAGTCCGTGGTCTTTGTATTGTGAGGCAGACAAGAAATTACCGACCGTTTGATCAAGGCGGGTGCAAATATCCTTCGAGGTTGGCTGGAACCGAGCCGGGAATGAAATGACAAAGTTGAGAAAGGTTGTGGCTAGGTTTTTTCGGCATGAGGCGGTGACACGTAAGGACGAAAGATATTTGGCGATACGCTGGACCCGCGCGAGCGTGTTTGACCAAGTAGTGGTGCCCGGGGAGTCTAGCTCGACGAAAATACTTAAGATTCACTCTCCTTCATGAGATCTACGTATGGGGATTGGGCCGGCCGAAGAGATAGATTGTGGTGAGATATTGAAAGGGGTGAGCGAACACTTTTCCCAGTTAGGGGATTCCCCCAATACCGAAGCAAAGTGAGAGAGCACTATTAGAGCAGCATCAAGCTCTGCAGTTGAGTTTAGAAACATGGTAATGTCATCCGCATAGCTGGCCATAAGGCGACGTTGCGTACTTGAGAGAGCGAAGACAGGGAGGTGCGTCGACGAGAAGCGGTAGAATACTTCTACAACACAGATGAAGAGAAGGGGCGTTAGGGGACATCCTTGGCGGAGCCCAGTATTAACCGGGAAGAGAGGGCCTTTGAGATTATTGACCGCAATACAGGTCGATGTGCCAGAGTGCATCAATCGAACCCAATGGATGAATTCGTCAGGGATACCCACATGCGCGAGACAGCGGAAGAGAAAGAGATGGTCAACGGAGTCGTAAGCCTTGCGCAGATCAACAGTGAGAACGAGGAGGGGGGACGCAGCGAATGTGGCCCAATCCATAATATCAATAATATCATTGATTGTGTTTCTTATTTTCCGATTGCGCATAAATGTCGTTTGGGATGAATGTATCATGAGAGGAAGAGCTCGTTGGAGGTGATTAGGAAGGCAAATCGCTAGAATTTTGTAGTCTGCATTCATGAGAGTGATAGGGCGCAGACTATCTGGACGAGAGGAGTCGCCCTTTTTAGGAATGAGAACCGTTCGACCACGGAGCATGGAAGGTGGGAGAGAGGTGAAAGGGACGGGAGGGTTAGGTAGCGAATGGAAGAGCGGGGCAAAACGGGGCTTGAGGTGACAATATAGCTCACGTGGGAGGCCATCCGGACCAGGGGTTTTCCCACGAGAAAGCAGAGAGATGGCCTTTCCGATTTCAAGGAGCGTAAACGGGGCAGCAAGCGTAGAGATGAGAGATGAAGGGAGGGTAGTACGGGGCACGTGTTGCCAGAAGGACTCGTCACGCGAGATGAAGGTGCTGCCACTGTAGAGGGATTTGAAGAATGCAGAGCAAACTGTTGTCATGTTGGGGAGGTGTGGTGTTGTCTGTCCATTCGGAAGGATGATAGACGAGATGAGGGCAAGTTTGATACTGTCGAACTCATATGCTATAGTCTGTGTAGGCTGTAGTGGGGTAGACAATATGGGGTACAACACTTTTAGGTTTTCCTACTTGTACACACCTGCTTGCTAGTTCATTCATTCCTGATTTCTTCACATGGTATAGAGCAGGTTCCCTAGTGAGAACTTTTCCTAGGGCCCACCACTGAAAATCGAGTTATTTTTCCTGCCCTGAGATCGAGTCGCCCCTGGCCGAGGCGCGCCCTGTGTGCCGCCCTCCCCTTAGCGACTCGTCGCGCCGCCCTTAGCGCCCCCCCCCACCCTCTCACGGCCCCTCGCGACCCTATCGCCGCCCCCTAGCGGCCCGTAGCGCCGCCCTGAGCGGCCCGTCGCGCCGCCCTCAGCGGCCCCTTGCGACCCCACCTCCACGGCCCTATCGCCGCCCTCTCGCGGCCCCGTCGCCACCCTCTCGCGGCCCCGTCGCCGCCATTCGCGGCCCCGCCGCCGCCCTCGCGGCCTCGTCGCCGCCCTCTCGCGGCCGCGTCGCCGCCCTCTCGCGGCCCCAGTGCCGCCCTCTTGCGGCCTCGTCGCCGCCCTTAGCGACCCCGTCGCCACCCCTTGCGGCCCCCTTGCCGCCCCTTGCGGCCCCGTCGCCGCCCCTTGCGGCCTCGTCGCCGCCCTTAGCGGCCCCGTCGCCGCCCCTTGCGGCCCCGTCCCCGCCCCTTGCGGCCCCTCCACGGCCCCTTCACTGCCGAGCCGCCGAGCCGCCGAGCCGCCGAGCAGCCGAGCCGCTGAAACGCCGAGCCGCCGAGCCGCCGAGCAGCCGAGCCGCCGACAGCTGAAGCCGCCGTCGAGCCGCCACTACCGAGCCGCTGCCGCCGAGCCGCCGTTGAGCCGCCACTGCCATTGCCGAGTCGCTGCCACCGCGGTTGCAGCCCTGTTCCTACCGGCGCGCCCCGGCCCTACCCACCCGGACTGGTGAGAGCACTCCCTGTTAGACCACTGCTGTCATGGCTACCCCCAGTGTCCTTACCTTTGATGCTGAGGGTCGTGCTGTTGACTTCGAGGTCTGGGTCGATGACCTACAGCTCTTCCTACAGTGCGACAGGGCAGACGGACTCTCCCTGTTCGATCTCACCTCTGGTGCCTCTCCTGCCCCGCCTGCTGATGCTGACACCACTGTTCGCTCACAGTGGGCCACACGCGATGCTGCTGCCCGTCTTGCTGTGCGTCGCCACTTACCGACCGCTGAGCGTGCGCACTTTAGTCAGTACAAGAGTGCTAAGACCTTGTACGACGCTGTAGTTGCACGCTACTCTTCCCCTGTCACTACTGCTCTTAGCCGCCTCATGCTGCCGTACCTGTTTCCTGACCTCGCCGCCTTTCCCACTGTCGCTGACCTCGTTACGCACCTTCGCACTAGTGACACTCGCTACCGTACTGCGCTTCCTGCTGAGTTCTGCCCCAAGAACCCCCCCCCCCCCCCCCATGTACATCACCCTCTACTACATAGTCACCCGGCTCCCTGACTCCCTTCGCTCGGTCAGGGACCACTTCCTCTCTGTTTGCCCCACCACACTCACCGTTGACCTCCTCGAGGAGCGCCTCCTGGTAGCTGAGAAGAGTATAGTCGCTGTAGGAGCCTCTAGAGGTGACCCGTGTGCCCCTGTCTTTGAGGGGTGCTCCCCCTCCCCCCTTTTGCCCTCTGTTGCCTCTGCTGCTGCCGTCGACTTCGTTGGCACCGAGTCGGTCGGCGCTGCGTCTGCCCCTAGCGGGCGACGCCGCACCGGCAAGGGCAAGGGGGGCAAGGGCGCTGGAGGGGCTGGCGGGGGCGGTGGAGGTGGAGGTGGAGGAGGCGGAGGGAGTGGGGGTGGTGGTGGGAGTGGTGGCGGGGGTGGGGGCTTCGGTGGCGGCAGTGGAGGCGGAGGCGGCGGCGGCGGTGGCGGTGGGAGCGGAGGAGGAGGCGGTGGCGGTGGTGGCGGAGGTGGCGGCGGAGGAGGTGGAGCTAGTCGGGGTGGCTCTGCGCAGCGGGGCGGCTTAGGTGGTGGTCAGCGCCAGCAGCAGCAGCGCACTCGTGAGACCCCGTCCCCCCAGCAGCTTCGTGAGTGGTACGCTGGGCATCAGCGAGGTGGGGGTACTGGTCCCTGTACCTACGTCCTCCGTACCGGCGACCGCGCTGGTGAGCAGTGCGGGGGCTCGCACTCCACCCAGCGCTGCTTCGGCCGCCTAACGGACGCTTGGCGTCACCAGTTCCCTGACGCCACTGAGATCCCTCGCTGGGGAGAGCTGTCTAGGGCGGGGGTTGCTATCTTTGATCTTGACTATGATGCTATTCTTGCTGCCATGTATGCTGTGTCTACTAGTGATGAGGGTGACCTGTGTGTTCCGCCTGACCCGGGCATTGAGGCTGCTGCTCTAGGTGCTGGTGAGGCTGCTGCTCTAGGTGCTAGTGCGTCTGCTGCCCCACGTGCTGGTGAGTCTGCTCTCTCAGGTACCACGTCGGCTCAGGCCTTACACACCTTCACCCTTGACTCGGGTGCTTCCCGCTCCTTCTTTCGAGACCGCACCACGCTTACGCCGCTTAGTCGGCCGGTTGCGGTCTCCCTGGCGGACCCCTCTGGGGGTCCTGTCCTTGCTCGCTTCTCCACTGTCTTACCGTGTCCGGCATGTTAGAATGTTATTATCTAGCCTGTAGTGGGGTGCTCTATAGCGAGTACAACCCTATTAGGGTTCGCTATATGTATCCCAATTACTGCTAGTGAAACCCCTCCTTTGTTCATTTCTCTCTTGCCTTGCTAGCTAAACCCTAGCTATGGCTCCTCACTGTGCTTACTATTCTCACATGCTATCAAAGCATCTACACTCCTCGCCTGTGGGCCCACCTAACTGCTTCCGCTGCTACTTTGTGTGTTGCACGCCCCGTGGCATGCGACGGATTTTTCTTCCCGCCGCGCGCTCGGAGCGTGCGGCAGATTTCTGCCCGCCGTGCGCCCCGAGGTGCGCGGCGGTTTTCTGCCCGCCGTGCGCCCCGGGGCGTGTGGCGGTTCTCTGCCCGCCGTGCGCCCCGAGGTGCGCGGCGGCCTTCTACCTCGTCGGTCCGCGCGTCGCCCCCGGGGGGGCGCTTCGACGGGCGACGGGGACCAGCCCGTCGTCCCCCGTCGCCTGTCCCGGCCAGCGCGGGCTGCGCTAGCCCCGAGCGCGGCCCATACGGGCTGCGCCCGGCCCGCGCGCGGCCCATACGGGCTGCGCCAGGCCCGCGCGCGGCCCGTACGGGCTGCTCCTGTGCCCGTGCCTCTGCAGCTTCAGTTGTTGCCTCCCATCTTCTCTCCTTCCACAGTTCCTCCTCCTCCTCACTTGCCCTCTGTGATAGCCTCTAGCTTTGCTTGCATTTGTGAACCTGCTCTATGACTGTGTGCTCTGCTGATTACACCCCACTTTGGCTATGGGGTTGTGTCAGAATGTTATTATCTAGCCTGTAGTGGGGTGCTCTATAGCGAGTACAACCCTGTTAGGGTTTGCTATATGTATCCCAACTGCTGCTAGTGAAACCCCTCCTTTGTTCATTTCTCTTTTGCCTAGCTAGCTAAACCCTAGCTATGGCTCCTCACTGTGCTTACTATTCTCACACAGCAGCCCCCTCTAGAACCCTGTCAAGTCTCTACCTCCCCTCGTTCTCTACGAACTTGGTGAGTGGTGCTGATCTACAGGATGGGGGGGTTGACCACTTCACTCCTGCGAGTCAGCGGGTGACCCACTGTACGTGTGCTCGGACGGGCCGACACTTGGCCACGTTTACCCGTCGGCCGGGGTCGAGCCTGTACACACTGACTACTAAGTCTCCTCCGGTTGCTGAGTCTGGTGAGGTAGCTGCGTCGAGTCAGGTGTTTGCTGCAGCGTCCAGGTCTGGTCCTGAGTCTGCTCCCTGCTCGTGTCGTCTCCTGTCCCACCAGACTCTCCTTTGGCACCACCGCCTTGGTCACCCCTCCCTGCCTCGTCTCCGAGGCATGGCCTCCCGTGTCCTTGTCTCTGGTCTCCCCCGATCCCTACCTCCCCTCCCTCCGGGGCCTGCCCCTACCTGTGTTCCCTGCGTCGAGGGGCGGCAGCGCGCCGCCCCTCACTCCTCCGAGTTTCCTTCGACAGAGGCTCCCCTACAGACTCTTCACATGGACGTGTGGGGCCCCGCCCGCGTCCGTGGCCAGGGTCACGAGCGTTACTTCCTGTTGGTGGTTGACGACTACTCGCGTTACACCACGGTATTCCCCTTGCGCAGCAAGGGTGACGTCACTGAGGTGTTGATCGACTGGATCCGCGCGGCTCGTCTCCAGCTCAGAGAGAGTTTCGGCTCGGACTTTCCTGTTTTGCGTCTCCACTCTGACAGAGGCGGGGAGTTTTCTTCTGCCCGTCTGGGAGCCTTCTGTCGTGCACAGGGCATCCGCCAGACCTTCACACTTCCGGCCTCTCCACAGCAAAATGGGATTGCTGAGCGCCGCATTGGCATGGTCATGGACGTCGCTCGTACGTCCATGATCCATGCGGCTGCTCCCCATTTTCTGTGGCCGTTTGCGGTTCAGTACGCAGCGCATCAGCTCAACCTTCAGCCCCAGGTCTCCTTGCCAGAGACCTCCCCCACCTTGCGGTGGACGGGGAAGGTTGGCGATGCGTCTGCGTTTCGTGTCTGGGGATCTCGGGCGTTTGTCCGCGCTACCACCGCGGACAAGCTGTCCCCCCGTGCTGTTCCCTGTGTCTTCCTTGGCTTCCCCCCTGACGCGCCTGGTTGGCAGTTTTACCACCCCACCTCGCGTCGTGTTCTGTCCTCCCAGGACGTCACCTTTGACGAGTCGGTGCCATACTACCGTCTCTTCCCCTACCGCACTGCGCCCCTCCCCCCGCCGCCGCTCTTCCTTGCGCCAGGTCCTCCCCCGGTAGACCCTCTCCCCCCTCAGGGTCCTGCCCCGTCAGGTGTGTCCCAGGTAGACGCAGTCGAGCCTGTCGAGGTAGCTGTTGACTCTGGTGCTGCTAGGGGCGCTGAGCCTACGGGTGCCGGGTCTGGGGGTGCTGAGCCTGGGGGTGCGGAGCCTGGGGGTGCTGAGTCTAGGGGTGCTGAGCCTGCGGGTGTCGGGTCTGGGGGTGCTGAGCTTGGGGGTGCGGAGCCTGGGGGTGCTGAGCCTGGGGTTACGGAGCCTGGGGGTGCGGAGCCTGGGGGTGCTGGGTCTACTCGTGTTGTGAGAGTACGACGGCTTATGCCAGCTATGCTTGCTTGCCTTTACTTTATCATGCTATTTCTAGCATAGGATAATAATATGCATGCATGAATTGCTTGATTTCCTAGGCTAGGTGCTTTCCTATATTTTATTATAGTTATAGCACCGAGCTAGGTTGCGTGCACCGAATTCTGGCTTTTCGGTTGCCACCGAATTGCCTTCTACCGAATTCGGTAAGGATCTGTTCGGGACGCTTCGCGACCCGCGGAACCTTCGCGTAACACCTGGTTACGGGGCCTTGTGTCGAGCCTATATACAGCCTCATGTTGTACCCAGGTGATCATTCAATTCAATTTGAATCATCTTTTCTGAGCTCGATCCCAGATCCTCACACTTGGTAATCAGAGCGGGTTTACACGCGAGGTCTTCAACCGCTTAGTTCCGGCCTTTAAAAACCGCGGGGGCGACGACAAAAGCGCCGATACGGGTATGTAAAACCAGTTCCGCGCAATTTTTCTAAGTCCCCCTCGATTCGGTTTTCGAACACCCCTCAGATTTACTGGTGGAAAGGTTGGAGTTTCGACCGTTCGATCGAGTTTCATCTCAACGGCCCAGAGAATTTCGCCCAAAAAAGTTGGAATTTGGAGCGTCGGATCGATTTTCTCCTCAACGGCCAAGATCGGACGCGAATTTCGCTTAAGGGAGATTTACGCAACCTACAGAATTCGCGCTCGTCGATTCTACAGTCAATTTGACTCACAGTAAGTCGACCAGCACCTAGAAGTCGATTATTTTCGTCGCGCATCTTCCTGTAAATCGCCAAATGGAGGGAAAAGGAGATATTTCAGTACAGAAAATCGCGGAGTTACGTGCTGAGCATAAGCAAATACGTGCAGCGCTCCCATGACTCGAAAAACTCCTTGCAAACCAGTCGGCAACCGCCACAGCAGCAGCGAAAACAGTAGCAGCAGCAGCAGCGGCTACACCGACAATTCTACATGCGACAACGGCAGCAGCTACAGTTAACCTCGAAGCAGTGAAGCTGAGGCTAGCGGAGGCGTTCGATCCTACAGTAAAAAGGAACGACGTTCGTCGATTTGTAGCTGAACTCGAAATTTACTTCGAAGCCGTTGGATGCACGACCCCGACAAAAGACGCAATGCGCATACGGCTCGCAGCAACACTGTTACGAGGCCCAGCTCTAGAGTGGATCAACAACAGAATAGTCCAAGGCGAGGGGACGTGGGCGCAGGTTCCGGCAGCACTGATCGAACAGTTCGACACGTTGAACAGTAGCTACTACGGAACACGACGCAACAAGCCAACTAGTGGCATGGGGCGATTGGCACCACCCACGACTGCCGACCCGATGGAGAACGACGAGGGCGATGTGGAGCAGCGGCTAGCAAATAATGAAACGTGCAAAATTTGCGGCGCTACAGGACATCGTTTCTTGGCGTGTTGGAAAATGAAGAGAAGGTGTGCGGAGCTGAAGGACAAGAACAGTGCGGCACCCCCGAAGCAGAAAACGGACAATGTGGCAACTTCGGAGAGGGCGAAAAAAGGAGAATATGGTGGCGCGGATTTAAAACGTCACGACCAGCCGGCACTAGGGGAAATCGCCGAGACTAATGGAGGATCCGCGAAACAAGACCCTGCACCGGCCGGGAAACTCCACCCGTATACCCCTATAAGTAAGAATATTACTTCTCGTGGATTTCAAGCCTTTATTAAGGGAGAGTTAGAAATTAAACCGGTACCGGGTATTATGGGGACCCTACTCCAGAGCGCTAATACGGGTCGAGCGTTCCGAGGAGTTAATATTCTCTCCCAGCAGCACTATTTAAAGGCTCCCTGTTCCCCACAGATGAAGCCTACACAGCTGCACAGGCTTAGTGGAAGGTTCCAAGCCCAAGAGAAGCCGAATCGGCCTCGGATAAATCCTTCTAACCTTTCTCAGTTGAAAACTGACACTGAAGCTGCATCTTTGAGCGCAGGACCTAGGGATAACATATTCGACGTACCCTACGATCCTATAAGCGATACCATCTACGGATACTCGGAGCAGCAGCAACCACTAGTACTCGAGGTGATCTGCAACGGGCGTCGCCTCCAGGCCCTGGTGGACAGTGGTGCGTCCCACTCGGTGTGCGAACGCGGGACGTTGGAGAAAATTGGAGAATCCTAAGAAAAAACCCAGTTTACAGCAACGATGGTGGACGGTACGAAGCTTCCCATCCACGGAAAGTCAACACTGCAGCTGCAGATAGGGGCGTTGAGGTGGAAGCCGACGTTGCCGATCACGAACATCAAGGGATTAGATTTCATCTTGGGGCAAGATTTTCTGAAGCGGTTCAACCCCAAGATCGACTGGGTCAACCGGAAAACGTGCATCTACAACAACGGGAAACGAGTGGAGCTGCGAAGCTTGACGGATACAAGGAGCGTTCCTGAAACGACACTGGCACGGTT